GGATTAGATCTCTAGCCCAATAGATTGCCTGTTCAGAGTTCTTGGCGATTGGTTTTAGGCTAGAGGTATTCTGGTATGGATTTCTACCTCTATAGGTATTCTCTGGTGAGAAGTTGGCGTATCGTTTGTTTGGTGGTAGTATTGGTATTTCAAACACGCTAGGTGTTTGTTGGTTTTGAGTAGGTGTAGCTGGAGTAGACTCTATCTCCATTTCTCTATCAGTTTGGGCCTCTGGCCCTAGGCTCTCCTGTCTGTTTTCTTGAGTATTTACTACAATAGTATCACTGTCTGGCGGCATTTTATTACTAAGCTCTTTTCTTAGTAAGCAACTAGATGGTCTGTGTGTTTTTGTTTTCGTGAGTGAGACGTGTTCAGATTAGCTACTTTACCAGCTTCTAGCTCTATAGCGCGTGGGCTGCACGAGTTGGCACTAGTTGTAATAGATTTCTTGGGATGGATTTGTATATATTTCGCTAAAATTACACCTATTCTGAAAAACTCGAAGTTGGTGTGCGTTGAATAGTAGACTCAGGAAGGCCTGTAAGGTAACAGACCTCACTATTTAACTTTCCTATAACGGATTTAAGAGTAATAATAAGTACACGAGTAGCGATATCATAATTAGGAGCCATATTAAGCTAATCTAATTGAGAATTACTAAAAAACAATGAATATAAGGGGCTCCAGGAAGGCCACGTCGAAACACCAAATGCCAAGACCTGCGGTGCGTCAGTGCGCTGCCTACCCCTGTCGCGAAGACTTTTGACGCGCTCCTCCGTAACAAGAGTCCAAACAGCATCGGCATAATTCCCCGGGAACAGCCGAGCACACATCAGATCGGAAGAATTCCGCTGTGGAGAATGGATGCACCTCGATAGGCTTGTCTAGCGGCTTCTATTGAGGAAGTACTTTGAATGGTTGAACATACTGCGTAAACCAACTAGAGCAAGGCATCAACAAATGAGCCTACTACCCACGTGGAATCCACAAATTCTGTATTCCATCCTCTACGGCGATGACTACATTGGATAAACTTGACTCCCGGTGAATCTGGGGTCAATGGCCGTCATCCGGCCCGCATCTCGGGCACATACTAGGCGGAACACTGCTTCAGCGCGCGATATCCTTTTTCTTGTACTCATAGCAGGAACCATGTGCCTATGCACTGCCATGAAGGTCCGAGGCTCGACGCAAGCGGATGCAACCACAAAAAGTCTGTGTCCAATTGTTTTACAACGTTGATGCATTGAAGCAGCAGTGACGGCGGGCTCTAAGGACATGGCTTCTAGTAATTCCCAAATCGGCAAAACGTGGTACTAGTAACATCGCGCGACATTTTTAAACCTAGAGCATTAAATCAAGCTTCCTAGCGTGGATCTTGGCACATGCTTATTGTCAAGTTGCTGGTTCCATGCACTATAGCTGAGACGAAACTGGGCTGATCGAGTGTCTCGTTACAGGTACAGCTGAAACGAAACTGGGCTAAACAAATGCCTCGTTCTAGGTACTACAGCTGAGACGAAGCTGCGTTAAACTCATCTATACGTCCGTGAGCCTTGTGTAAGCAAGTACTGAGATCTTGTTTGCCACTGCTATTGATAGACCGTTCTAAATTATCGGCTTCAAGATACCGCAAGATTGTTGTTAATTCATTGCACTAAGAGATTCTAGTATACTACAAGAATTCATAACTGAGATACGAGTATTCACCAGTCCACGTGAATCGGCCCTCCTACACTCGGCTTTTTTACCCCAGGATATCCCTCAGATCGGCTAGCCCCCCTGGTTCCTTCGCCTGGTACGGATTTTACATGGGGATATATGACGTTATATCATCTGGGGGATGAGGTGGCTCAGTTCGGCAAACTTTCCAGAACGTTCGCATTAGCCTCGCTACTAACGCATTATACATCTCACTCAGCCACCTAGTTACCAAGTTAGTCGACTTCAGTTTCGAAACAAGCCTCGGTAAACTCGGATGTGACTAAACTAGGCAGTGGCGCCGCATCGCCGCACTTGCTACAACACTAGGGACCCATTCTCTAATGCACTCTACGACTCGATTGACGTGTTTCGTATTTGACACTTGAGGGGGTTTGAGGCCTTCGAGATGACGAATGTTGCCGCGATCGCTCGTATTCGAGAGAGGGCTAGGTTGCTGATTGCAATTATGCGTGGAGGAGCAAGTACTCCGGCACTGTGACGGACAGGTGACGGATAACGGCATTTGTGATGGGAAGGCTGTCGTTAGACTTGATGCTACTAGTGTTAGTTAGCATCCATAACATAGTGACAGAAAAATTTGGACAAGTTCCTCAAGACCTATAGCATCCTGTCTGTATATAAACCAAAGGACATTCCCTCAACCAAATTTTTTTTAGCAGAGCTTTCACTAGCCTCTACTTCTTCTACCTTCACCCTCACTCTGTGTTTCCTCTCCTCTCCTTATTTCACTCTTATCAAACGTCTCTAAGTCCACTGTTCTCTTTTGACTACCTCTCCAACTCAAGACGATGAGATCCGCCGTCGTCCTTTCTTTTCTTTCAGCAGTTGCCCTAGGGGCACCCACCCCAAACCCTTTGAAAATCGGCTCAGATGGTCCAGGTGTTGCCTTCGACGGACCTTTGACGGGGGCCCCTCAAGATAAACGCAGCCCTGCCAATCCCAATTTAGATGACTCGAAGTTCTCAATTGGCCTCGGTATTCCGGCTGTTGTCATCGACGGACATCCCATCAAGATCCCTCATAAGAAACGCGATCCTGCCGATAATGTGGACGACTCCAAGTTCTCAATCGGTTCCCATACAATCGTAACTGGAGGTCCTGCTTTTTCCATTGACGGCCATGCCAAAGGAGGTTCCGTGGGAAATGTAATTGAGCCATATCTTCTTTCATGTTTGTACTGCACTTACTGATTCTGTTTAGGACCCTGGTTCGTCGATTCATATTCACATTAGAGATCCTGAGCCGAATCCTTCCAAGAAGCGTAGCGTCGAGTTCATAACTGGAGCTCCAGCTATTGGATTCGGTAAGTCAGCTATAGGCGGGAGCGTGAGTCTCTCTGGGGATTCAAAGGGCAAGGATGGTGCTTGTAAAGATGGCAAACATGGTGCTGGTATTGCCAATGTAAGTCTTCTCTTTTAGGCGGTCGTAAAGTGCCAGCACAGTACTTTTATGTACCATGCCGCTAATGTTCAAGCAGGGTGGCAACGGTGGTGATACATTGGTGCCCGGCAGTCGTGCTGGCAATGGGGGAAATGGTGGCATTATCGTCAACCCATAAATGGTTTACCCAATATAAATGGATTAAGGGTGAGATGTGCGTGTCGTCTGGATCACTGAGCTAGATAGCCTTTGCAACGTCGTTGACAAATGTCATCCTAAGTGTATCAATCATTCAGGAAATAATACATTCCCGCATATTCAGATAGCATGACCCCATCCATGATCAATGTTCTCTGGAATGCAATGCGCAATTGTCAGTACGAGTTTACTTGCACGTCCCGTAGCCCTGCTGGCACCCAGTCTTACAATGACCATCGGTCGTTCCACAGAACCCACTGCTAGAACAGCACTGCCCGTTGAACGGCCCACCAGAACACGTAAACCCTTTCGATGCGCCGCACGCACCATCCAAAGTGGGGATATTGGTGGTCAGACATGCGCTTGAGAAAGACTTTTGACTGTATGGAATTTAGCATAAACACCACAGTATTCACGCGCAGAGGGAGACGGGATACTTACCATTCTTGGGCACAGTGATTGACTGTGCTCCCACAGTAACCCCCTGAACTGCAACAATTTCCAAACGTGCTGCCCTGACACCTCAATACCTTTGTACCACCACAAGTTCCGTCCGTAGAGACGCCAGTCTGAGTTGGTGCTTTTGAAGTCGTGGTAACCGTGGAGCATGTACCGAATCCGGTTTGACAGCCAGCACCACAATGATCTGTTGACTTTCCACAGTATCCACTAGAGCTGCAGCAATCGCCGAAACCGGAGCCTTGACACTTGTACTTATTTGTCCCGCCACATGTGCCATCAGGTGAGATATCGGCAGATGTGCATGTGCCAATTGCTGTCTGACACCCAGCAGTGCAGTGACCAGTAGTCAATCCACAGTAACCAGATGAGCTACAGCAGTCGCCAAATGGCGAGCCTTTACAAATGTACTTGTTAGTGCCACCGCAAGTTCCATCCGGAGAGATGCTGGTAGATGTGCAGGTTCCAAACCCAGTCTGGCATCCCGCTGTACAGTGGCCAGTGGTTGAACCGCAATAACCCGAGGAACTGCAGCAATCACCAAACCCAGATCTCTTGCATTGGTATTTGTTGGTGCCTCCGCATGTACCGTCAGGAGATAGACTAGAGTTTGTGCATGTGCCGAAGGAAGTCTGGCAGCCTGCCTGACAATGGCCAGTGGTCGAGCCGCAGAATCCTGAAGAGCTACAGCAGTCGCCAAATGGCGAGCCTTTACAAATGTACTTGTTGGTGCCACCGCAAGATCCGTCAGGGCTGATGCTACCCGGTGTGGGAGTTGAGGAAGGAAGAGTAACAATTGTACTGGCGCTTGGGACGTCCGCTGAAGGAGGAGGGGGAATGATGATTGTGCAGTTGCCATTCTGGCACTTGCCAACCCCACAAAAGTTGTTACCAGTGCCACAGTTCCCTGTGATGTCGCAGCAAGTGCCCCATTTCCCTCCACACAACAGGTTGTTGTTCTGAATGCCACATTTCCCATCCATGCTGAATTGAGCTGGGAAACCTTCGCATGCACCAGAGAAGCATGTACCGGCCTGGCAGTCTTCTCTGTAAACACTGTTAGCAGCATTCGTCGAGCGAGACGTATTATCCGATTCTTACATTTGGTCCCCGCATTTCCAAGTCTCTCCGTTGCAGCATTGTTTGTCTAGTCCAATGCAAGTTGCATTGTTGTACTGAGGACCGCAGAAGCCGTTCTGAGAGACGGGGAGCTCTAGCCCTATTTCGGTCTCGGGATTAACATTTTGGTAAAACAGAAAATGAAGACTTACAACCAGCGACGCACTAATTGGTGTTGGGCTTGATAGTATCGCACGCTTTATTGACGGATGGATTCAATTCAAAGAACTTATCCACAGTGATGGAGTACTTGCGCGCCAGCTCAGTACAGGTGTAGTAGTTCACCTTAGTCAAGGTTGTCGTCTCGTATCTGCAAACAACATCGCCTGGTGCGCCATTCACACCGTACTGAAACAGTGCGAGAGTGATGGGAACCCATGTTAACTGAGCGAGCATAGTTATTGTGACAGTAGAATAAGACAAGAAGATTTCCAGGTAGCGCTTCTGGTCCTAAGTTTGCAATAAATGAGGCAGATATATCCTCTTGTTGACGAAATCTTCCATAGCCAAAAGGCCGCTAACCTTTGGCTGCTACGTACGCCAGGCGCAAGGCGCACTTTCACAGATCCATGTCAACTTTAGGTTCGGCTACGGGGCGTTCTCGCCGTGCCCATGCTGAGCCGCCCCATCAATAAACGAGTAGTTCATCCTTCCACTAGTGCTTGGGGTCACCTGAATTGGCCAGATTAGGGCTGCGCTAAGTATAACCCAGGTAAATGCTTAGCGAGAGGTGAAAACAATATGTAGGAACAAGAATCCGCCCCCGTTCATATCACCTTACACATCCCCTTTTTCGCCCGACACTATAACGATCCTTCCTCAACTTTCCACACTCCGAACCACGCCGCTATCATGCCTTTGGTGGATGACTGCATCCGTATGGACCTCCTGTACCGACTACGCTGGAATCTGTTGGCCGACCTACATGATGTCGAGATTGTCTGGGGGTCTAGAAATGAAGAGGAAATTGGCCCGTTTTTCGAGCATGCGTCTGCGGATGCAGACTTCGGCCTGCCTAGTTTGAGCCGTCTCGAAGTCAAGAGCCGTGAATGTGACGAGAAATTTCGACTCTCGTACGATAGTGATCCCACGGAGAGCAGCTATCAACCTCCGCCCCCACTCATCATTCAAAACGAAGATGGCGCATCGATTACATTCAGGCAGTTTGTCACCGAGGTCCATGCATACTTGAACGAGCATTTTGAAGAAGTCAAGAAAGCTCAGCGAGTAGTGGCTGCAGAGCCTTGGTCGGAGACACTCTTGTACTTCCGACGCGCTTGGCCATACGAGACTGAGGATGGTAACGTCGTTGTCTATGTCGAGATGATGCCCCGCGCTGCAGATGCCAAATTCAGGGATATACTTTGGGGCCAACAATTAAATAAGGCTCATGAGTATGAAAGGAAGATCCAGGGCCGTCGATTCCGCCTTGTCAAGCCGAAATAGTCGAATGACCAGATTGGCCGAATTCGGTTTCCAACACAATTGAAAATCCTACAGCCTAAAGTATGAGGAGATTATCTCTAAGCGCCCTGTGTCAGACTGGATACTGCAGCCTAGTTTTGGGTGTGAACGCACGCCTGACGAAGCCAAGTCTGTTTGGGGTATAACTCATCTTTGAAATGTGCATTTTCAATCTTAGGAGTGTACACAGACAATGTATTTAATGTCGAAATATTGCATATGTTCGTCGGACATTCTGAGTGTATAATTGCAAGTTACAATGATACGCCTTCTTCTTTGCCTCTTTTTCGCTGGCTTCGTGAAGGCACAATACAATCAGCGATGGACTTGGATCAATGTCCTACAACAGAATGGAAATTGGGTACCGCAGGCCCATTGAAAAAGGGACAATGACCCGAATACTCCCTACAAACAGGTTAAATTCCCTTCTGGGATCGTTGAGTTGGAGTGAGTATATTCTTTTTGTCAGTGATGAACTAGAGAGTAGACTCTAACAGTCTTCCAGATACAACTGCAGAAAGATGCCTGCCATATGTCAAAACGTCCGGAACTGACATAACAACATATTTCTATCCGCGTGGCATACGCAAAGCCAATGGGTTGGCTGGTTCGCTTACGATATGGGTGCCTCTGGCCCCGAAGGCCGCGGTGGTAAACGCAGAAACGAGATGTGTCCTCCTACTTGGAAGGGAACCGTACTCAACCCTAGATGTCCGGAGACTAATCAGCCACGAGTTGTACCACCTCTATATGATCAGCTTGGTGTTGGAGTTACGGCTGTAGTTCCCCAGCCAGTGCCTGGACATACCGAGCTCACCATGGTTATTGCAGATGGGAAAGATAACCCGATCCCAGGCGTTGGTCAGTTGCAATCTTCTGGGTGCAAATACAGCTGCGATGAGTTCCCGCCAGCATCCTGGATTGAAGGTGGTGTTGGTATCATGGGATCGGGAAACAACTTACCGGGCACTACATATTGCGCACCGTGGGCATACAAATGCGATGACGAGACTGACGCCCGAGGATCCGGACAAAACTAGCAGGGCTTTATTCACGGATTTCTGGGTGCACACCTTGAGGCCAGACTGGGTTCCGATCATGTGCCTTATGATGCGGATACCCCTATCGCCTTCAGGTTTCATTTTGAAGATCAAAGCCCGGATGTTACATGGGCAGCACGTATAGTCACAGATGGAGACCAGATTCTTACCTCAATTAACCCGGGCACGCCATTCCAACGCCGCGGAAACAAGGATACAACCCGCACGGTCACAAGTTTCTTCCCCAACGGAAATGGCAGTCTAGCCGTTGAGTTGGCGAGTGGCGAAGTTTTTCGAACACATGAGCGTGGCGCAGAGCGAAGAGCTCTCAAGCGAGTCAGGCAGTTGGGTCTTGGAAAGCGTGACCAGAACGACCAAAATGCAAGCAACACGACGGAAAGCCCTCAATGGTACGTACTTTATGAATTTTTATCCGCGATTGCCATCGGTGTGCTTACTAAAACACTATTACAGGCACATAACTGCGGAAGATGTCGATCCGACACTGAGCACATACGGCCTTCCACTTCAACAAGATCCTGTTGATGCCATTGACATCATCGGATGGAGCAAACAAATAATCTTGGGGCAGATTGGCACATCCAATAATGCGACCAACATAACTTTGACTAACAAAACGTGGACTAACGGCACCACACCAAATATCCGCAGGCATTCTCAGCATTCTCAACATGCGAACCAACTAATCTCGCCTTACCGTCTCGGTTTGCAAAAGCGTGTGGATGGTCCCATCCAATGTGGCCCAGGCCAACCTTGCTTGGACGAATCATGCTGCAGTAAGGAGGGCAAGTGTGGATACAAAGCAGCCCAATGTGCACCGGAGAATTGCATATCCAACTGCGATGCAAAGGCCATGTGTGGTATCGACTCAGTTGGTGGAAAGACGAAGTGTGGGCTCAAGCTCTGCTGCTCTTACTACGGATGGTGCGGAACAGAAGATGTCCATTGCAAGGACCCAGAGCCTTTGATCGGCAAGACGTAAGCATATACGGCTTTCTCTGTAATTTTTTTCGATTTTATCTAACAAAATATAGGCCATGTCAGCAAGGTTTCGGATCCTGCGAGATCAAACAATCGCCTTCGTGTGGCAAAGGATCTGGCACGTCAAAAGGACGTCGGATCGGGTACGCCTCGCCAGATCAATACACGTGGGCTGTCCCATTTGCTCTACGCCTTTGCCTTCTTTCATCCTCAGACGTTCGAGATGATGCCTATGAACTCCGACGATGTTCATTTGTACGGCGAGTTTACCGCACTCAAGCGCAACGGACTCCAGACCTGGATCGCGATCGGAGGCTGGTCTTTTAACGATCCTGGTACCCCAACATACAATGCCTACACTGACATGGTATCCACTGAAGCGAACCGACGAGCCTTTATCCAATCTCTTATCAAGTTCATGGACACGTACGGCTTTCAAGGCGCGGATATCGACTGGGAATACCCTGCTGAGCCGAAGCGCGGAGGCCGTAAAGAGGATACCGATAACCTAGTTCTTCTCATGAAAGAGATGAAAGAGCAGTTTGGTGGGAGGTATGGTAGCAGCCTTACACTCGCACCAGACTACTGGTACCTGCGCGGTTTCAAGCCAGCTGAGATGCAGAAATACGTCGATTGGATGGGATTCATGAGCTATGATTTGCATGGTCCCTGGGATACTGACGTTAAAACATTGGGATCAAGAGTGCGACCCCAGACCGACATCACTGAGATCGAGAAGAATCTCAAACCCTTGTGGTTTGACGGTGTTGATCCTGCGAAGATTGTCATGGGCCTTGCATACTACGGGCGTACTTATACACTAGCCGATCCAAGCTGTGGTAAGATGGGCTGCAGCTTCATCCCGGATAAAGGAGGTGCGGCTGGTTCTTGCACTAACTTCCCTGGTGTCCTCTCAAACCGTGAAATTAAGAGGATTGTTAAGGATGAAGGGGTCACGCCATACTTTAACCAGACAGCTATGGTGAAATATTTTACCTACCAGGGCAACAGCTGGGTAGGCTACGACGACGCGGAGACTTATGCTATGAAAGAGGCTTTCGCGAATTCGTACTGTCTCGGCGGCATCATGATATGGTCGATTGACTTCGATGACGAAACAGGTGTGGGATTGGGAGATGCGAACGGTTACAAATCGCCAGAATCTGCAACCATCATACCCATGGTGCATACAACCGCTCCACGTGGAGGGACGTTTACCCTCGACTCGGGGGCAGCCACCGATGTTCCCCGTCTACCCAACAGCGGCAACCAAAACTCACTTCAAGGCCCAGGTGCTGAAAAATGCGAACAGTGCAGTTTCTTCCTTCTCATTACCTCCACATGCTGTGGCACGGGCGGATCGGTCGGCAATCCAGTCTTGATACCTGCCAATGTCCCTACTCCAATGGATATTCCTCTGCCCGCAGGATTTACTCCTCCTCAATCGTTCAAAGATTCCAGCGGAAACACTGTTCCTACAAACGAACCGCTTCCAAAGGAGACTGTTATACCACATTTTCACAGCCCTTCGTCATTGGGCCTGGATCGCCGCTGCGAGAGGGTGAGGGTGACGACCAAAGTTCGAATTCATCAAACCTAGTTTGGTTATCTCCCGATATCTAGAAGGATCCCAACCCACAGGTGCAATGCTTCTTCCCTTGTACTTTTGTTCTGCCGCCTTACACGTCTTTCACCACCACTGTTGATTATCCACGTATCACTGTGACAGAGAGTGGCACTGTCAAGACAACCTTAACTTTCCCACCTTTGACGGTGAGTTCATGGGCACCGACAACAATCGTGGTTGGTGGGAGGAAGGGCTGCACTGAGATTGGCACTGCATCATGCACCAATGTAGACGATGACCGTCGAACTTCGATCGTTCAAATCAGCTCATCTACTACTTGGCCTTACGTCACATACACCACATCAGGCACACGACGTACGACACGGCCGGGACCAGTACCAACCAATGAACCTGATCCGCAGAACAGCAACACCCCAGGTGGAGGTGGAAGCGGCGGCGGAGGCGGCGATGACGGAGGCGGTTGCAAGCTCCTCATTTGCCCACCACCACCTAGGATTTCCTTTCCCCACCTAACCATCTCTCATGGTCCTCCTAAACCAACCGTCACCCCTTGCGCATGGCCGACACTCAACTGCCCGAAACCCGGCCCACCGCCAGGCCCCGGTCCAACATCCGGCGGCGGCATGTCCATCATCCCGCCTGGCGACAACCAAGAAGACGACCAAGAAGAAGAAGATGAAGAAGAAGAGGAAGAGGAAGCCTGCGCCATCAGAAAGCGAGCCACCAAAACCATCGGCGTCACCGTCACTGCAACAAGCCGAACAACCGTCATCGTCACACCAACCACAACCACAACAACAACAACAAAACAGCCGCCCCCACCCGCAAAAACACCCGACTTCAGCAGAGACAGAAAGCACTGCTACGACGGCGTCGGCCAATGGACCCGCCGCGCACGCATGATCGACAGCGCAGACAAATACTGCGACCAATCCCTCAAAGGCAAGAAGCTGACCGAAAAATGGAACGCGGGTGAAGTAAAACGCCAATACGTTCGCGAGGTCTCAGAAATCATTGCGTTCGTCGAAGTCGTGCCTGGTTCGGGTTGCGAGTGGGATGTTGATGTGAATGTGTGCAAGGCAGAGTTTAGGAAGATTATTGATAAGTGTGATGAGGATGGGGAGAATAGGAAACGGGGGTACGCTTTCCAGAGACTGCTTGAATTGGTGTTTGAATCCGAATAGGGATTATTCGTGATTGCGTCGCTGAAGGAAAGGGGGCTTTCTTTCTCTCTTTGTACACCTTTTGGTGGATTGAGATATAGAGAGCATATGATGTTGGTAACACGATGTTTTGAGCCAGGAAAGGGACATTATCACAGAGACAGTGAGAGCAGACCTGGGAACAAGGAAGGACAGAAGACGCAGAAGACGGGTGATAGCAAAGACGAGAGTATATCTTCCGTCTTTTTAGCATTTGCTATTACAGACCATGTATGAAGGCTTCTTTAGCCATTCTCTCGCCGTCGAAGACTTCGAAAGCTTTGCGGCTCATCATGGTTTCCCAATAACAGCCTATTTTTTTTCTCGTGGGAGATGATTGGAGTGGATAGCTGCAGGCAATCGCCAGTAAAGCAATGGAGGATTTCAAGTGTACAACCATTATTCCAACGTAGCGGCTTCCCATCCCAATGAGAAGAATGCCACATCTGCTAAGACGGGCATTACGTCAACTCTCGTTGTATATCAAGGTGTTGAGTCTTCGTCAAGAGTAAACATGTGAGGATACTATGCAGGATGAAACGCATGACTTTGCAAGTTGACTGGGGACCTCAACAGTCAACCCACTCTTCCTCTTCCTCTCTCCTTCTCCCCAGCAGCCTCTTGTCACTTCTCCTTGACCGCTTTCCCGTTCTTTTCAACACGCCCATCTTCTTTCGCTTCTGCTTGCTGAATTCTCTCGCAATCATCTTTTGCAGTTTCAGTTCCTTCACATCGTAGATTCTATCACAGAACTCTGATAACCACTCATTGACGTCATTGCTCAGCACATCTCCTTCCTTACACCTTGTGAAAACATCCTCGACTTCGCGGCCAAGATCCTTAATAGTGTCTTCTTTCAATAGTGCAATGTCTGCTTTATGCTCCTCCATCTCATTCATCATTTCTGCCGTTTCATGGGCTCGTGCATCGTACGCTTCGTTCCAGACCTCATCAAGCTTTTTATCAACAAGTTGCTCGAAATGCTGTAATTGGCGGGCCTGGTATTGCTGAAATTGCTGGGCAAGATGGACGCGGAGGTGGGGAATCCATGTCTTTCCCAGTGGTGTCAGGGGTGGTAGCTTTGGATATTTGTTGCCGAGACAATCAACAGAGGTGAATGAAGAGGCTGGTGAGCTAACATGGGACTTAGGCCCGCCAGCGAGCAGACTTTCGAGGACGTTAGGAAGGACCTTCTCAAGATACGCAGGCAGTTGCTTGCTGACCGCCGCATTGATAGCCTCAATCTGATAGTCAACTTCGGGCGACACCTGCGTGAATTGTTTTATCAAAGCATCAGCTGCAGCCGGGCTCAGCGGTACGGTAGTGTCAGAGGTGTCGGATTTAGCAGGCGATTGGGGTGCGAAGCGTTTCGGTGACTGATTGGGTGACTCCAGGCTTGCTGCGGATGTTAATTAATTGCCAGAGTTTAGACAGGGACAGAACTCACCTTGCCTTGGCCGCTTACGAGGATTATCATAAGCAGGCGGCGCCCCAATATTGTCAACAGGGCCGAAGACCTCCCAGCTTGCCCTCCTCAGCCCTTGTTTAATGAGTGTTCCATCGATTGGATAGCTAGCCAGGCCCCGCGCAGCTTTGCTGAACGCCTTGAACATGCCCTGATGTTCCTTGCGCACATACTTGTAATCAAAGGCGATGTGAATCGTGGTTGCTTTGGTGAGTTCTACAAACTCGCGGAAAGAAGAGTCACATCCAGGCTTGGGACCGAAAGACATGGCGGCCGGACACCAGAGGGGACATGACTGGTCAACGCTCAGGGCGAGAGTCTTTATGTCCCAATGCTTGTTGTCCTTGTTTCGCAAGAGCTCGTTCAGCAGTGGTCGCGGAATATGGTTGTTACCACTAGTGAGACTGACAGTACCAGACAGCAACTTGTCGGCATCGTACTGTAGAGCGAAGAACTGTACATCATGAGTTGTGGGAATTTTGACTACAAGCAAGACTGTCGCCTGCTTGGACGCGTCGTCACACCTAAAGATTAAAGAACATTGGCACGGAGATACAGGATCCAAGACGTTCGGTACAGGATAGGCGAGCGCCTTGAAACCACAGTTGAAAAAGTTCATATTATTAGCTATCCAAGATGCCCGCTGAACTCACCAAACCCCCTTGGACGACAAGGGAACCCACCCTCCCAGGCTTTGAAGCAGCCTTGACTTTGTATATGTCGCATCCACCGCCGACACTAGGTACACGACCCCAGCAATTAATCGAAAGCCCACCCCGCTAATGGCAGCCGACGGACGCGCAATGCGATGCAGAGTCGCCCGCCTTTGCCACCAGCGGCCTTGTGAAGTTCGCAAGGATGATGGGCCTAAGTCAAGTGCTTGATACGCGCAACAAGTGGGAGCGGAGATGGAGGGATATTCGGTTTGTTGAGTATGTGCGTAGGTGCCGTATAGGTGCGATGAGGGAACCCGTTGATGAACGTTGGTGGTGAAGTCAAGGGCTGGTGGCTGGGGGGATGCGCGTTGGCTTGGCAGGATGTCGTGGACCGTGCGTCACTTACATAATGTGTCGCTTGTTAACAACTAGTTAACTAACTAGCTTCAGCGTACTGTCCGCCAAGACCTGAGCGTTAGTGCGAAGCCCACCCAATTTGGCAAAGGTCTTGCTCTAGTATCCATATCAGTAATGCCCAGCTTAACATTAAGGCCACATCCGCAGTATCTCAATACTGTTGGAGCTGCACGTTCATCTGGTTGCGATCCCATAACCGCGAAAACGAGACACGCTGGCGATGTGGCCAATACACTCGTGAGCTACGTTATTTCACTGTGATGAATAGCTCACAACATATAGCAAGTCTGGAAAAATGACTTAGATCTGAAACCCTCGTACTTCCACAGTTTTGAATCTCAGTGCGAGATTAGCAAGTTTCACTTTCCACTCCGTAGTGAGTTCCATATCTTCCAGCAGCGTATTCTCAACCATCACTTTGCCTCCATACGTATGATGTAGCTTAATATGTTCGGGCCAGTTGAAATCGTCATTCTTCTCCCGTACGAGAAAAGGTCTTCCATCCTTTTGAATGATTTCATAGTTGTCGTTGTGTTGGTAATCTTTGAAGTGGCCAGTTACGTACCGCCCTTGAGCTGTTACTACAACACAACAGTGCCAAGGTTGAAGTCCAAAACCATCCAGTTGAGGTATCAAAGGAACCGGGATCTTGGATTCGCCTGTGGATCGGTGAATAGAAAGTCTAATGTGATCAGGAAAGGCAGCTTCTAAGGCTCTCTCATAAGCCTAGAGGGTACAATGTGAGACTAAAACTAAGATCGAAAACAAGGACACAAACTCACAAGCAGGCGCTCAGTCATCTTGACTGCAACCTTCTTAGTCTCTTCGGCGTATCTCTCCTTATCATTCTTGACTTCTGGATCAAGATCAGGGCCCCATCGCAAATCCTCATCCGTGAGCTTGACGTATGCTTGGTATGTGAGGTTTGTGTCTTTGTGGGTTTCAATCTTTTCCTTGATCTCTGCCTGATCGGGCAGAAATCTGGCCTCCATTTCGGCTCGGCAAGTACCAGCCAAGGCTATATATTCATCCTTAGATAAGGAATCTCCATTAGCGATCCCGAGTACGTCCGCCAGGCGTCTAAATCGGATGCGCGTGAATCCTTGATCTGCTGCAATCTTTCGTAGTTTGATACCGTAATCATAGAAATCAGAACCAGGTATACACAGCAGATCTAACAAGGAAGGATTAGCATAACGCACACATTTTCCATCGAGTATAGCTCACCGTTGTAGACAGGACCATCAGATACTATAGTAAGCTCCGCACCATAACGATACACCTTCGCTAACTCATTGCAGAGATGATCGAGTCTTGCCAAACCCAGCTCTTCCGCAAAATCTGGGTTTTTAGTGTCCAGAACTTTCAATGGGGAAGAGTTCTTGAATGGGGCCGCGGGCAAGAGTAATGGGATTGGACTCCTAGATGTATAACTGAGTTCAATCTTGGAAGAAGCAACAGTTCCGTAGCCGTGCGTTTCGTTTGGTTGCTTCTGGCCTTCAAGTTGAGAGAAGCGTCGAAGAACAGCGAGAATTGCATCGATATTTAGTGATTCGCCACTGGCCATGGTTGGGAGATTTTGAAAGGATATAGCGAACCAATTTGTTTACATATATGAATCTAATAGCGGATCTTTGAGAGGCAGGGGAGGAAAGACGGCGTAGGAGAACCTATTCGCTATTCTCTATCAAGAACAAAGATACTTTGAGGACCCGGGCGTTTGTCGTGGCTGAATACACAAACCAAGGAGAGCCAGCAGGTCAAAATGAGTATTGCACAATCGATAATCATGGTGGCGGGGCAGCGGCAGCTGGCCTAAGTACAGGATACTGAGCCAAGATGCTATGCCTCATCTAGTAAGGCCCAATCCGACAACTTCGTCCAGAACAGTGTGTAAAACAAACACCGAAATAAGTAAATCATGGGATACGAATCTGAGACACGTTGGATGTTGAAGAACCTTATGATTTATTGGTTTTTTACTTTTCGAAAAAGAAGAAACACAAAGCTTTGACGCTGACAACCCACATTGTGATGCAAACGACTCGCCTACAGGCACTTTTCAGCTACAGCTACACATATCTCATTGAGAATCGAGGTTTTAGTTTGCCCAAAAGGAGCAGAAAAAACCTGGAGCAATTCATACCAGCCAGTATCAGCATTGGAGCAAGGTGACATTTATACTAATGGAGTCAGTCTTCCATAACGGTGCGAGAAAAGTCGTTGCAGTCATGATAGATCACAGTGGTGTAAGAGAACTCATCAAAGTTTATTTTCTAGAAATTTGCAGCCGTGAACACTAACTGGGGTTTGGTTTTGGCTTCGTTATGGCTGCTAACACGTAGGCCAAGCAGCCCGCCAATAGCGTGGCGCCTCCAAACAACTGAGCATATAAAAAGTTCCCATCATGAATCGCAACAAGTCGTGCTCCAATAACCGGCCCTGTGAGACATGATATACTCACGATACCAAAGACCATGCCAACCTTGGTGCCCACTCTTGTCGGATCAGTACTTAAGTCTCCAGTTGCTGCTGGAAAGAGACTCTGGGTAGCATTGGCCGCAATGCCGTAGACGACAGCCCATCCAAATAGCCCCTCAGTAGAAGATACACCTGCCCAACCAAATAGCAGCAATCCACTAATCCCAGCCGCGGGGATAAGTGTTCTCAGTATTCCAAAGTATCTATCAGCCAGAAATGCCGGAATGACCCGGCCAAGCAATCCCACACCATTCATTACGACAATGAACAACAAAGATTGTGTTTGGGAGAAATTAAGTATTGTGCGCCCGAAGACACCAATCTGGTCACGTTAGTCTACTGACAAATATGTTCCGCATCGTAGGAGGAAAATAGGAAGACTCACATAGAAGTAGGCGAAATACAACCCCCATAGAGCGAGAAACGAGCCTACCGTAAATAGCGTGAAGGATCTTTCCTTAAACGCCCGCGTATCAAGAATCGAACGTGGTTTACGGACCGGAACACGTGTCTTGGTAAAGCTGAGAATCATAGCAGCATTGAATGTTACAACAAAGGACATAATCAGGACGGTCCATCGAAATCCTACGCGATTGAGGCAAGAGTAGGCAATGAGTGGGAATACCATACCACCAGTTGAGGCTCCACAGGTGGCCAGAGAAACAGCAACCGCTCTATGCTTCTTGAAATATGTCGGCAGGATAGAGACGATTGGTGCAAACAAAAAGCCGTGCCCAAGACCGCTGCAGAGGCCTTGTGCGAGAAACAACTGCCAGTATTTTGTTGATAGGGCAGTCATGAAGATACCCAAGACTTGCAGTGTGCACCCGAGAAGGAGGGTTTGTCTGAAGTACCCCATGTCGACTGTCCTTCCGGAGAAGACGCCGACGAAATTCAGCAGAAACATCTGCAAACCGCCTATCCAGGCAGAGTCTGATGATGATATACCCAGGTTTTCGACATAGTATTGCTGAAAGAAGCCGAAACTGGATGCGCGTTTAGAATCAAGTACGATTGGTAATCATGTTTAAGCCTTGGAAAAACCTACGATGTAATGTATCCCCAGCAGTTGAAGATGACCAGATGGCCCATGATGACTTGCGTCCATGCCAAAAGACCTCCATCTGGTATTTCTTCATGCTTTAGGTCTTCGGGGGACGTTGATCGATCTTGTGCAGAAGTTTTCTCTATTGTCTCGTTGTCTAAACACTGTAGATTAGTCGAGTTCTAGTCACTGCGTGCGAAATGAATACCCATTGTAGTTTACTAGAGGAGAATGATTCCAAGTGAAATTGGTTGATGGGTCTACTCAACAAGTATATCAAAGATCCTCTTGGATAACTTCAGCAATCAAACCGGGATCGGAATTGAACATATAGTAGTAGAGAACGGTTCGCGCTATCTTAATGCAAAGAGATGAACATCTCGATTTGGTAAAAGACGGAACTTGGAGGCCATGGCATATCACTTGTAAGAGCCATGCATAGTCACAAAACAGCGTTTTTAGGTAGTTACAAAAAGACAAACTTAGATGATCTACACACTAGTGCGATCGATCCAATACTAGATTGAGTTCAACGCCGAACAAGATATGACGCCGGACCATACCTTAGGCCCTGTTTTGGATACCATGCGCTCACCACTCTAGCAGAAAGACGTAAACATGCGTCATCGAGATGATCGTATCGCGATGATGTACAAAGCTCACTTTCTTTTCGTTGAGATCGTGCGCGCACTGGGCCAGACGTCATATGCGCATCCCCCCTCAACAGAAAGAAGTAAACATGCTGCAGCCGGGATGTGCCTAGCGTAATGTGTTGATATTTCAAGCTATCTTGACAATATTGAATACACACTGGGCCTATTATAGTGTACTTGCAGTGCTGAGCACAAGGTGCGCGCCGAGCGGACATATCCGCTTGGTCAACATTGCACTAGAATGTGCAATCGGCCGATATACAATCAAATAGGTAAACACTGTGCATTCTCTTCGTGTTGTTAAAGGCCAGTTATGAATCAGTGATGAAACTTAATCCAAGCTGTTTTACATAGCATGATGGTTGTATTGAGGCTTGCTTAGAATGTGAATTACCCCCTCGGGCATCTATCACTAGGTAGTACCTCGCCCTTATGTTCTCTCCTATGCAATACAGGTGCCTAAATCTGACTTTTATTGCAACCTTTTTCATGAATGGCTCTTAGCATTTCTACAATTCTCCGTGCCCTTTTGAGAAATGGGGGTGAGAACTAGCTTTCTAGATTACTATCTTATCCCACTTCAGCACCATACAGTCAAAATCCGGCAGAAATGTAGCTGAGATATTACACATAAGCTGCATTCATTTGAATTTGCTTGCATTCATACAAATCTTGGGAGAGGAGCACTGTTCTACATAAAGAAGGGCCCTATGTTCATCGGGATACATTTACGCGCTGGTGTTCTAACACTCTCACTTTGGCTCTTGCTTTTTACGTAGCCCCACTCCCCTTGCTGCAGTGCACTGACAGTGCGCATTACTTTGCCTGATTTATTGAACGTATTGGTCCTAAAAGAATCCCATGCCCATCTTTACTTCAGTATCTTTCATAGTAGATCATGGCTTTCGGATCCCCATATTTTTGGGTAGCCCTAGTCGCTACTGTTTCGTCGTTGGCGCAAGCTCTCCAAATCACTGGCACTACTGCATATCTCGATGACATTCCTTACTGGATCCCGCCAGATGCAGTCGGATCTCTTCAAAGCGATTTTGCAACCTCATTCTTCGAATCGAAGAGGCTTGCTTTGAGTGGTTTCGTGCCAATGTCCATAGTATCTCCCGGTCCAGATGCTTATTCGGATGCTTCTCTTGAGCGTGAACTCTCCCAGTTTAGGGAAAACGATGATGTTTGGAGCGAAGGTTTTGCCAAGCGTATGAATTCCTTAAACTATCTTCTTCGATTTTTCGAAACGTATTAATAAGTCCTTAGTGGTTTATCTTCAAGCAACGGATCAGAGACGTGAAAATTCTGGGGCCGACTCCATGCAAAGTTGGGGTAACAAAACTATCTTATTTGCTCCAAAGAAAGTAGATGAGATCATTCCTCAGGGCCCTTACTTCCTGTCGTCTCAAGGTAGCATTTATCGGGCTTACCGACTTTACTCTGATCACCAAGAAGCTTTCACTGAATCTGTCTATACAAATTCTTCTGGCAAACATTCTGTCCTTCCAGCGCATGTAACAGGAAATAGTCTTACAATCGCTGTTCCGTCTAGACTTTACTACACGCAGACACCGACTACCCCGCTTGCTGGCATGCGTATTGGTATCAAAGATATTTTTGACGTAACTGGCATAAAAACTGGCAACGGCAACAGAGCGTGGTACAACCTATATCCTCGGGCTAATGCGACAGCACCCGTAGTACAGCGGTTGCTAGACGCAGGCGCGATCATAGTGGGCAAGCAAAAGACTGCTCAGTTTGCCAACGGAGAGTACTCAACTTCAGATTGGGTCGATTATCACTCACCTTTCAATCCACGCGGTGACGGTTACCAGGAGCCCAACTTTTCTTCCGCAGGAGCCGGTGCTAGCGTTGCATCGTATGACTGGTTGGATTTTGCATTGGGATCAGATACAGGCGGTAGCATTCGCGGTCCTGCTCGATCCAACGGCCTTTACGGATTGAGGCCGTCACATGGGGCCGCACCTTTACAACTTGCACTCGCACTTGCTCCTGAACTAGACACCGCTGGGCTCATTGCAAGGGATCCGTTGCTTCTCCAATATGCAGCTACTGAGATATATGGGCTATCTCGTAACAGCTTTCATGATTTTCTCCCAACTCAATTGTTAGTCGAACCGTTTCCAGCCGGATTGTCAAATGAGACAACCATGATTATCGATCGATTTCTCGATGCGATGAAGAATGTTCTTGGCATCAAGAAGACCGACTGGTTCAACGTAACAACCGCCTGGCAGCAGTCTCGACCCCAGTCCGCACCGATGGATATACAATCATTGCTAGGAAATGTTTACGCAACAATTATTGGCCAACGTCAAACAGAATTAGTGCGTGACCCCTTCTACGCCAAGTACGCATCCATGC